CGTGAGGGCGCTCTACTCCGGTCTTTCCCCCACCATGGTCCGAACATTCCCTGCCAACGGAGCGCTGTTCCTGGGTTATGAGGCCAGCCGGAAGCTCATGATGAAGCAGTTTGACAGCTAAATTGGCCCATGTGCAAGAAACTAATGAAGCAGCAGTGAACTAGAAGTGACGTATTTTATCTGTATAACCTCAACAAAACTCCATTTTAGCCATTTTCTGTTTTTGTTCAGTTTAGCCAAAACCCGCCGCACTCCATTTCTTTTACACCAAAAAACACAATTGATGTAGAGTTTACATATTTTATATTCAGCGGTGGAAAGTAACTAAGTACATTTACCTCTAAGTACTGTACTTAAGTACAATTTTGAGGTATTCATACTTTACTTGAGTATTTTCATTTTCACATATTTCAACTTCACCTAATTTTACAGGCAAATAATGTACTTTTTACTGCACTACATTCATTCACTATCTTTAGTTACTTTTAGAATTTGATTAACAGAACAGCATACAGCATAACCAATAAAAATTTATTGATGCCCTGTGGGAAATTCACAAGCTACCCATCAGTACTTCCAATTGTAAGCATTTACAGTAGTTGAAACTAGCTCCACCTTTACCAGCTAAATGTGATGTGCACAATAATGCATCAGTAATTTATAATTGAACAGTATAATATGCATCAGTGTGAAATGTGCTCTTCAGCATAATGAATACTTTTACTTTTGGTACTTTACATATATTTTGATGTTAATACTCTTGTACTTTTACTTAAGTACATTTTGAATGCAGGACGTTTACTTGTAACAGAGTATTCTTACACTGTGGTATTGCCACTTTTACTTGAGTAAAGAACCTGAGTACTTCTTCACCACCGTTTAAATCCTAATAATAATTTATTTTTAGATCTGAAAATTCTGTTTTTATTACTCCAAAAACAAAACGGCCAACATACAGTATAGAAATAAACATTCTGTGTGTATGTAGTATATGTATATGTATATGTATATGTATATGTATATGTATATGTATATGTATGGAGCAACATTATTCAATGTCTACCTCAACACAGTCATATCTGCACAACTATGTTTCTCTGCCAGTCATTTGTAGTAGTTCTGTACTTGCTCTGTATACAGGTACACTGTATACGCTGTGTCTGTTACGTATTAAATTAGGATTTTATTTAAAAAATGTGAAGCGCCAGATGTCAGTTCATCTGTGATATATTGTGATAATGTTTTTTTTAATTAACTTCACAACAAAGTCTAGATCAGAGCTTGGTTTGGTCACAAAAAAATACAAATCTGGGGAAAAAAATAATAATAATCAAAAACATTTGCTTCCTTTTCACACTGAGCAGACTTACTTTTCAAACAGTGTTGACGGTGCCTTGAAGGAAACAACAGACAGTAAATATTTGAAAGGTGAGCCTGAACCATTTTCAGTTCACCGGCTAATCAAAACTCACCTTGTTCTTGTGTACATATCAAACCCAGGATGTGATGGTGACTGTTTTTGTTCCAGTGTTATGTTCCTCTTTTGGGATCCAGTGTTTGTCTTTTAAATCTCTACATTTCACCTGTGTTTTCATGTAACCTTTATTAGTGATGAACACGCCTGGTCAAGTGTGTATGCAGGACTTAGTAGATGGCCATTTAGAAATCTGTCATATTCCGTCATTTTCAGTTGAAAATGAAGATTTGTTCAGGAATTGTCAACAATTTGAAATGATGCTCAAATATTTGTACAGATATCAATCCTGATATTAAGTGTAGTAATGCATTAAAGGTGTCAATTGAGGTAAACTTTGTTCCCTGTGTTATTTTACTATTTTTAAAAGTGGTTCGACTGAAGAGCACAATAAAAAAGGTTAATGTGAAATGTTAAATGTAATGAGCCAATACAAAATATCACTAATCTATGTTAAACTAACATAACTAGCATTAATTATTTCGGATAGTGGACCGTTTTCACAACATAATAGGCTGCAATACATTTCAGATCTGTTAGTTAGTACAGTATAAAGCACTGGGATATACAGTATAAAAACATAGTAAAAAAAAAAGACAGTAATCCATTTATACGTGAATATTCATGAAGATGCAGCAGGGAAGACTCTTCCAACAGAGAGGGCCAGTCAATTGTGAGGCACTCACAGTGGCTGTAAATGACACCAAAATTAATTCATCCGCATTCTCTGAAGTTATTTATCTGAGAAACGTTTGAAATCGGACAGCTCAATATCTTACCCCATCTTTGCTGAAGGTTCCACACAGGCAGCCAACAAGTCCGTTGATCATCTGAGTGGCACAGAGAATCAGCTCCAGGCAGCTCGTGGCCAGCAGGGTGGCGAACAACCCTATGTTGAACTGTACAATTTTCTTAGGCTCTGTGCATACTCCCCACCACGTGTTGTCATTCAAGTAGTTAGCGTCCCTGTCCAGATAAGAGCTTTATGAATGCACATGACTTGAGAAACCAATTATGATTAGAGGGCTGCTCCTGTGTGTCACCTGTCTTTAAAAGGTGTTGTCCAAATCAGAACGGTTTTGCAGAGGGGTCCGTTATGCAATCCGAGCGCTGCCACAGCAGCACTGTACAGGGCACCAGCTACGCCCACTGCAGCGAATAAAATTGATAGGAACATCTGCAGAAATTAAGTGGTAAGCAAAGGTCAGAAACATTTACACTGGAGTTTAAGCCAGTGTATTGACATTGAGCTGTTGCTGCATGCTGCTACTCCAGACAGTTCTTGTGCTATTGACAAATGATGTGTTTCTGAGTTTAGGGAGGAACAGGCTTTCTGTTGCCCACCGACATTTGTTCGCATTCTTCACATTTCTTCTTATTATCTGAGCTTCTGGGCTTTCCCAGCAAGCTAAGCCAAGCATGCATACACATGTTTTATCTGTTAAGATTTGTTTCCTTGTTTTTAAAGCTGGTTCTCTTTGTATTTACTGCACCACTACAGTCATACTGCAACAACATATGCTATCAAACAGTGTTAGCTTCTTACCAGTCTGAATTTTAAAAGTCATATGATCATGTGTATCTGTGTCAGTGAGATTTTAAAGCACATTTCAGTATATGTTATCAAATCTTCCTACAAACAATCTACAAATAAGTATGTTCATTCCACATCTTTTACAGAGCATGTGAAACATCACAGTTGTAATTCTGACTGACTCACCCCGCAACGGTTCCCACAGCATCCCTGCTGTCCAGTTAGGTGAATGTACATGGCAGGAACCAATACCTGTGGCAGGACGCATGAGCTGACATCAGTTCAGTTTAGTCAAAAAAAAAAAAAGCCTACAGAATATGTTAAATGACTTGGGAGACACTGCACCAGCCAGTCTTCAGTCAGATTTTGTGGAATTCCTCTTCAAACTTCACCACATTCATTAGAAGTTTGTCTGTTTCAGTTAGATTTAAATGTTTCTCATGTACAAGAGCACAAACTGGATGGCTAGGAACAGGCAAGGTGATCACTGATTTTTTATTTTTATTTTTGGTTGCCTAAAAAGGAATTTACAGCTGCGTATAGTCCAGAGTCACACCCTTCAATAACAGGTCAGAGAAAAGAGAACTCACCATCAAACCCCCTCCAACAAGTCCCCCCATGTATTTCACTTCCTCAGTAATATGTCCATCTTTGGCATACTGGGTTTCCGCTCCAGGAAAAAACAACACAATGTTGCAGATGATCGATAAGATCGCTAATGGGTACAGAGTGGTCGCAATGCAACGGGAGCATTTTCCAGTACACATGTTGTCAGAGAGTAAACGACGAGCTGCTGTTTAGATGCGTCGTTCCAAAGGTTGTAGCTCAGTCCTTTCTGTGTTCAGAAGAGTCCTCAACAAAAGAAACAGTGTATTTGCACTACTGACTGATATTAGTGTGTGGGATGAGTAATATGAAGCCACATCCTTAGATAAACAGAGGCAGGGATAGGTTTCACAAGTTGATCTGACTCATCCCAGGGTGTGTTTGTTTTGTTGAGTTTTTATAGACAAAGCACTGGTTTTATTTGGTCAATGTTGTAAATATATTTAGGTCATCTGAGTAAGATGTGCTGAGGGTGACATGACTGTTACATGCACATGTTTAGTTAGATAAACAAGTCCCCCCTAAAACGCTGGTTGTAGTTCAACTTCAGTTTCCTGCATGTTGCTTCAATCCACTAATCTGAACTAGTCATTTACTGTGAGACATGTTGTAACTCCACCCACAGTGCTGGAGTGATCTATTGACACTGTGACTCCAGGATCACAGCGTGACTGGACTTTAGACCAGTTTGTGCCATTGACATTTACAGAAACATACTGATAAATGACCACATTGTTGATGCTTAAACACAGACCGGACAGGCCACATTTTTAGCCTCTGTAATGGAGTCATTTCCGCATTGTATTGGTAAGCTATACAACATCCGAAGTAAAACAATAAAAAAGAGACGCCCAAAACATAGGATGTTACCAAGCAACAGCTGGGTGAGGCAGCATTGCTCAGTGTGTGTCAATCAGTGTGTGAGGCTGGAAAAATGAAATGAATGTTGCTAAACTGGAGCTTCCTTTCTCCCATGAGGGACAGTATAGCTTTCTTCTGGTATTTATGCAACACACAGCCACCATCACTTACAGCAGATTTTGTCTTGAGTTCAATTCCATGTTTATCTCATGGTTTTATTCACTGAAAACATGCAGTGACAAAGGCAACACTGAATATTTAGAGGAAGAAACTGTAGGCTTACAGAGACCCCGACAGGCTGCCCATTAGTTTCAGTTCAATGCATAGCTGGTGAACATACAGTACTGTGACCTTGTCATGTGGTAACTGCTTCTGGCCCAGGAGCCAGTCAATCAAACCGCTGAAACAACGGTATCACCCTTTATCCTGTATTTACTTTGGATAACTATCACTTCAAGGCACCCAGACATTTATTATTTAAACTATGAGACTCAATAAGGTACAAAGTGATATAAATAATGAAACACACCACAGAACCAGTGGGCTTAAAATAAACTTGTAATTGCCATGAATTATTTCTAATACTGCTCTTTCATAACATTCCCTAATACACTGCAGCATGAAGCACTGTGAAATACACTTCAAGAAGAGTTTTAAACCTGTTATAAGAGACAATAGCAATTGCACAGCGAGAATGTTACAGTATGCAGACGAGGCTAAGGCGCACTTGTCATGGCCTCCAGCAGGGGGCGCCAGCCAGCTCCTCACATGTGGCATGGTTGCAAAAGAGGCCTTCTGACTAGGAACTCATGGCTCCTACAAGTTAAAAAGAAAACAGGAAACAACAATAAAATAAAACAATATCAAAGAGAATGGCACTGAAGTTAAGATTCCTGTGCAAGAAATGTCTGGATATCATAAGGACATGGAAAACGGATCCGTTTGACTTTACCTCTTTCTTGGCGCAGGTTCCGAACAGGCAGCCAAAGAAACCGTTGAGCATCTGACTGGCACAAAGCAGCGCCTGCAGGCAGCTGGCTGCCATGAGGGTACCGAACAGTCCGATGTTGAACTGCACCACATTCTCAGGCTCTGTGCAATTTCCCCATGAGTTTTTGTCAAACAAGTCGGGCGAATTACTAAAGAAAAAAAAAAAAAAAAAAGAGTGTTATAAGTGACCAAAGCTTCACAATGTTAAAAATATTATTAGAAAATTATTTACATCACCTGGTTTCAAAAGGTGTAGACCAATGTCCATCAATTTTGCAGAGGGGCCCATTATCCAATCCAAGCACCGCCACAGCAAAGCTGTACACGGCACCGGCGACACCCACTGCAGCGAATGCAATTGATACGAACATCTGCAGAAGTTACAAGACAATTGGAGGTTACAAACATTTTCATTGCAGTTTAAGACATAATGTATTATCAATTAATTTTTGGCCATGCTGAATATTTTGCCCCTCGACCTCTAACATATTTTAAAGTAAATTCATTATTTATTAGCTTAATGAAACTTATGTCCTGTCATCCTCCGTAATTTCTTTTGTGATACATTGCTGTTCTCCCCAAAGCTAAAGTAAAGGCGGGTTCCCAAACATATTAAAAAGCGATAGGTTCTACTCAGGATTTTCTGTTTCTAAATTCCTACATTAATTAGCATATAATATTTTAATCCAATATGAATGCAAATGTTTCATCTATGCACTGTGTTAAGCAGTTTGACTTGTTTGTGTATGAAAATGTGCTACATAAATAAACTTGCGTTGCCTTTTAACATGTTTTTTAAAAAATTAAATTACAATAAATAAACCAATATAAACTGAACACTATTTATTTTCAGTGTACTAACTCTATTGATGTATTGCAGCTACATGTGACATCACACAGTGTTCTTATACAACTAAATATAGATTAGAAATAACGAAAATACATTTCTAAAGTTTATGTTAGAACAATATTTTCAGATAATTTATTTATAGTGTTTTGCGAGTGTAAATTCATTTCAGGAACTTATAACTAAAAGCTGATATGGGAAAAAAGGAGATGATGGTGCATGATCTTATCTACTGTATCTAAAGAGGACCTAAATGTTGCACAACGGTGATGCAGCACCATGCAGCATATTTCTGTTATTACCAAGTAATTCTCAGCCTCGCTGGCCTCCACTGAATGCTTGAATTTATAACATTCATTCTTGACCTTAGAAATAATAATATGAAGAGTAATCTTGGTAATAGCTTGCTGACTTTACCTTTTACTGAGAACTTGAAATGTCTACTTGTGACTGACTCACCCCAAAGCGATTCCCACAACACCCATGTTCTCCAGTCAAGTTGATGTAAAGTGCTGGGATCAACACCTGTAATGACAGGAAATCAGTGTTAAATGTCTTCATAATGGTTCACAAGTTTAGTCGAAACCAATCTGCACTTAGGACACTTTCAGTCAGATTCTGTGGAATCCTGTTTCAAACTTTAATAAACTTGAGACTTTACTTTAACCAGGATGAAATGTGCCTCTCATATCATATCATATCATATCATATCATATCTGAAGATATATGGTACTTGGTGATGCTAATTATAATGCAGCTGATTAAAATTTCAGAGAATCACATATGTTTATCACTGGACCCAGAACAGGCAACACTGCAAACAATACAAAAACAACATACTTTTAGCTGTTTTACAGCTGCCCATAGTCCAGAATCACACCCTTCGGTAACTCACCATCAAACCCCCTCCGACAAGTCCCCCCATGTATTTCACCTCCTGGGTGATATGTCCTTCTTTGGCATACTTGATGTCCCAGCCAGGAAAGAACAAAATGATGTTACAGATGATGGACAGGAGCACCAGTGGGTACAGAGTGACAGCAATGCAGTGGGCACATTTTCCAGTACACATGTTGCCAGAGAGAAAACTGATGAGCTGCTATTTAGACCTTTTGTTCTGATCGTTTTAGCTCAAGTCCTTCCTCTTTTCAGAAAAAGTCCCACCTGACCCTGACCAAAAGAGGGAAATGTGTTTGCACAAGCAGCTGAACACTATTATTAATGCTGCATGTGTGATTAGGGGCTTAATAACATTTTTATGCGTACTTTGTGACATGTAGTTCAGTTAATTTTTGTGTAAATGGGCCTTGTTGGAGTAGTTTTAATCCAACATGCTTTGTACTGTTGTACCCGGTACTTTTTACCATACTGACTCTGAGAGACGAGACAGTCCAAGTAACTACAAAACAGTGCTGATTTATTCAAAGGATCACAGGTAAAATTAACATTACACGCTCAGGTATCTTGCACCTCCAAACTGCTCGCAGGCAGATGTAAGATGAAAGACCCTGAACCCACCAGGCCTATACATTATATCCCCTCGGTTGGGCTAG